CAGCTAGGCAAAGTGGGGCAAAGTGGGTTGGAATGTCACAAATTGCTGAGGGTATAAAACCACAGTCCGGAATTTTGATGGGACAATGGGATGGGTTCGAGAACATGGGATACTGACATGAAGCAGCCCATCCATTTTTCCTTGAAAATGACACGAACTTAGGGTTCCCCTTGAATAGAACAAACAGTTGATGCCTAGGTGATGCATGGGCGATGAGTGATGGCCTACAGAGCGTTAACCTTGTCTCTCCATTCTCTGTTCAGTACCCCTCAGAGATTGAGGCCACCTGACTGATGGTGCTACCAGCATGCTGAACACCAGAACCCACCAACTCCTTTGATGCTATGAGATCCCAGTGCTGGGTAGAATGAGAAGACTCCTACCTATCCCACTAGTGGATCCCATTGAGGTATGTGTCTTTCTGTTAATGAGCTTTTAGATCAGTAGGACAAGAAAGTATTTACTTGTGCCTATTTGAAAGAGAACATAGGAGGTATAACACACAGAAGAGCTGCCTGTCAATGATCAAAGCATTGCCCAAAGGGTCCAGGAAGCACAGCCCTGCAGAATCAGGTCAGGGAGACAGGGGGGCCCAACCACGACCAATGATGAGATCTGGTGGCATTTGAGTGATACTCGATGAACGCCTGGTATCCAGAAATCTGAGGTCATTCCCGATGAGTGCCAAGCTGTGGATGGAGGCCCATAGGCATATGCTCGTCCCTTGTGGACCTGTTGTTGATGGGCTGCACTGCTGGGTGATGGCTCTTGCCTCAGAATCAAGAGTAGGGCAAACTGTGTGTGGTCTGCCTCTCATTGTGTCAGCCTCAGGTTGACTCCTCAGCTATATCATGCCGGAACACAAGCCAACTACCTTACAGAGAAAGCCTGTCTGCAGCACCCCCCACCCAATTTGCATGGTACACAATGTGGGTCACCAGGAAGAGAAAGTCTCAATATTTCTTCCCTTCTCTACCTTCTATCAAACAGAGAGGTGACTGAGGCTTTGTTGGAAATTCACGGAGATGGAGATTTCCCAGGATGCCATGGTGTCAATCCAGAGCCCATGGCTGCTAACAGCTGCAGCATTGACCTCCAATCAGCACCTGAAGACAGGTAAGGAGGGTCTATTGCAAACCCCCATATTACTCATTTGCAGAACATAGTGAACTTTCCACGGGCTGGAAGAGCAGGTCGAGAGGTGTCCCAGATCTGAGTAGCCTCCTGTAGTGTGTGGCCTCCCGACGGCCCCACACTAACCAGAGAGTGAGCCAATCCCGAAGGCTCCAGAGAGAGCAGCCCAACTGGGGACCGATGATGAGATCTGGTGGCATCTGAGTTTTTCTCCATGAGAGCCATGAGAACAGATATCTGAGGTCAGGCGAAGAGAAATCTCCTCTGTGCAAAAGTTGGTGCTCTGGGAATTATGGAGGCCAGGGAAAGTAACCAGGACCAAACCTGGGAAGCCGACTAATGTCAGGTCCCCAGGGAAACATGGCTGACAACTAGGCAAAGTGGTGCAAAGTGGGTGGGAATGCCCCAAATTGCTCAGGGGATAAAACCACAGTCCTCAATTTCAACAGGACATGGGGATGGGTGAACTTGGTATACTGACATGAAGCAGCCCAGCCATTTTTCCTTGAAAATGACATGAACTTAGGGTTCCCCTTGAAGAGAACAGACAGTAGATGCCTAGGTGATGCTCATGTGATGAGTGATGGCCTACAGAGTATTAACCTTGTGTCTCCATTCTCTGTTCAGTTCCTCTCAGAGATTGTGCTACCAGCATTGTGAAAACGAGAAGACAACAGCTCCTTTGGATGCCATGAGAGCCCAGAGTATGGTAGAATGAGAAGACTCCTACCTATCCCCCTAGTGGACCACATTTGAGGTACGTGTCTTATTGTTAATGAGCTTTTAGATCAGTAGGACAAGAAAGTATTCACTTCGGCCTAGCTTGAAAGGGAACCTAGTAGGGATAAAACACAGAAGAGCTGCCTATTTATGATCAGAGAATTGCCCAAAGGGTCCAGGAAGCACAGCCTTGCAGCAGCAGGTCAGGGAGAGAGGGGGG